TGGCCCCTGCTATCACAAATGTCTCCCCCAGACACAAGCTGATAAACGCTGCCATAAAGATAAGACGCCAAGACAGCAAGCACTAATCCCATTGGCATCTTGAGCCAGGAGCAAACACCGAATGTCTGAGTCCCAGTGGGCATGTGTGTAGAATTCAGCCCTTCTGTGCATCTTGTCATGGCTTTCGCTGACACGGTCTATCCTCTGCTTCCTCAGTGTTGCTCCTCTCCCTTTTCTCCTTCCTTCTTGCCTCCTCCTTCAGCCAGAACTGAATCTCTCTCTCTCTGACTATCTCCTGTCTAAGCATGCCCAAGATACCACTACCTCCAACATGAGGAGTCAGGACACAAAGCTCATAGGCTCCTCTTTCAGATCTATGCATATATGCAGGAACATGGCCATCTCACATCCAAGAGAGTTTGGGGCAGGGATTGGAGCTGAATCTAGATGAGCTCGATCTCTAGCATAGACAGTTGGCAACAGATGATTAGAAGTCCCGCATGCTTTTTCCTGTGCATCCTTTATGTAGACACTGTGCCATTATATAACCTAAATGCATGACATATTTTCGAAGTATCAGCTGGGTCATTTTGTATGGGAGCCAAAGTTCATGGGACCTTTCCCAGGCACCAGATCACAGACTGTCCTAAGGAGGATACTTGGTATCTGTGAAAATCTATTTAAAAATGTGTATTCATTTGCTTCCTGTGACTGTAACAAAATACCCAAAGCAATCAATTTATAAAAAGAAAAGGGCTACTTTTCCCCCTCAGTTTGGGTGATTGGTTGAACCCATTACTTTGGGCCTACAGTGATGTCGCACATCACAGTGGTCACCTCATAGCCAGAAAGCAAGGAGCAAGCAAGAGGGGTAAAAGTCTCACAATTTCTCTTCAAGGCTATGTTCTCCATGACCTGTGACCTCACATTAGACCCCACCCCTTAAAGACTCCCCACATCCCAAAAGCACCACCCCAGGGACCAAACCTCTGACTTGTGGACCTATGGAGGGCACCCAAAGTACAGGAAGATTTTGTCTTAAGCATCCTTCTGGCTGTTTTTCTATATTTCTATTAAACAATTAAGAAGGGTGAGGTGCTGGAGAGATGGAGCCGCTCTTCCAGGACTCCTGGATTCCCCCTGAAGCACCATTCCCAGGGGTTCTGACGCCCTCTTCTGGCCTCCACAGGCACTGCATGCATGTGCTGCACAGACAGACATGCAGACAAAACACCCCCACACATATAATAAAAATAAGTTGATTTCTTTTTAAGGAAGGAAGGGCCAAGCACCAAGGTGGCACCTGCCTATAATCCCAAGCACTCAAGAGGCTGAGGCAAGAGGACCTCAAGTTCAAGCCAACCTAGAGCTACATAGAGAAATCCTGTCTTCTCCCCCACAACACACACACATACAAAACACAAAAGCAAAAAAACACAAGCATAATGGCTCACACCTGCAACCCTAGCACTCAGTAGGCTAAAGCCGGAGTATTGCAAGGGATTTCCGACCAGCCTGGGTTACATGCTGAGTGCCTAGCCAGCCTGAGTGAAGGAGCAAGAGAACAAGCTGAGAACAAACGTTCCCCTCGGTAGTCTCAGTGAGGCAAGGGTACACACTGACAGAAAAAAAAGTGATACAATACGCCCCCAGCTTGGAAAGGCAACCCTCCTCTAATGTGCCCCCCTTTAACTTGGCCAGCGGGCATGGCTACAGCATGTTCCCCAATCTGTCAAATACAAATGTAGAGACTGCCCCCTTGGGTGGAGTAAAGGGAGCAGTGTGGGGGCCATGTGAATGCTGGTCAGTGTTGTCTGAGTCATCTTGATATTATGAAATCTTTCTTTAAAGATAATCAGGAGATTCAGTAAACGATAAGGACTTCTAGAGTCATGCTGACCAACAAGGCTCTGAAGACAAGAGTCCCTGTTTGCTTTTCTTTTGCTGAAATCAAACATTCTGGCCAAAGGCAACTTGGGAAATTATTTTATCTTACACTTCAGATCATGGTCCACCACTGAGGGAGGTCAGGTCAGGAACTCAAGGCAGGAACCTGGAGACAGGAACTGCAGCAGAGACCATGGAGGAATGCTGCCTAATGACTTGTGTTGTTACAGTTATTTTTATATATTTGTGTTTGTTTCTCGGTTTCTCTCTTAACCCAGCTACTCTTATAACCTGGCTATCATACAAATAAATGAGACTGTATTATATTATTTTAACAAGCTTCACAGCATAAGAACTGAACAGTTATTACTCTTTTCTTAACACTCTGATTTGGCTTCCTCCCAGTGTACATTCCAAAGATACTTGCACTTTGTAGTTTTTCTTGCTGAGCTCTCTCTGTGGGTCCCTCCTGGATATCTATCCCTGGCTCAATCCCGTACTTCCTTTTCTAACCCCTCCTTCCCTGGCTGCCAGGAAGTCCAGTCCTATTCTCTCCCTGCTCAGCAATTGGCTGCAAGCTTCTTTATTGGCATACTAGGAGACAATTGGGGAATTGTGACAATTGTGTTTACACAACAGTGTGACAGGAGACTCTCAGAACAAGAATTGCAACCAGAAACGGGGGATGCAGAAATCAGCATTTGAATTACACAATAACCTAATGCCTACATTGTGTACCTTTCTCATACAGGGGCAGTACTACTCACAGTGGGCTGGGCTTTCCTACATCAATTAGCAGTTTTAAAAAGAGCCAGAGCCAATCTGATCAAGGAGGTTGCCTCAAGTAGCAGTTACCTCTGCAGGAAGAGGGGAAACAGTGGCATCTTCAGGCCAGTCTGATGAACTCAGCCACGGAAACGGCACAACAGCCGGGAAAGCAAACCCTGAGATCGCAAACCCCAATGCCATCTCAAAATGCATTGGGCAGTAGAGCCTTTGCTGGAGCCACCATACAGGAAGCCACTGGTCCCACACCAACTGATCTGTTGCTACGTTCCCCTCAGTGTGGGAAAGGCTTTACCTAACTCGAGGGGAGCTGGAAGCTTGAGGGCAAGTGTCAGGCTCCCAGAGCAAGCCATAGACTTCTGCTTCTCAGAGAAACTGGATTATCGATAAGACATGGAGCAGCTTGCCGAACTGCTGGGAACGGTGTGCGACTAAGCTGAAGAGGCAGGAGCAAGGGAAAGGAGGACATTCCCAATCCAAAGCATGCCATGGGGTGATCCAATCTCTGGATACCCACCACTAGCGCTGGCATTTGGGAGCTGCAGCTGCAGCCGCTGTCCCTGCCACTCCTGCACAGATGCTATGGGCGATACCAAGCCTCCACCACCCAAAGCCCCAGGCAGTTAGTTGTAACTTGTGGACCAGTTCCAGGTCCCAGGAAGACACAGTAGGTGTAAGTAGTCCTGGGAAAGTTCTTGCCAGACAGAGATGCGCTTCCCAAACACAAAGACAGATTGTGCAGGCTCAGAAGCGAAAGAGCAACGCTGCAGCCTGCAGACTGGGGCTCCCACAGGAAGGACCGCACATTGCAGCTACGCCACCAGGTGGCGCTCAGTATTTGAAGGAACACTGAAATAGGAAATATCTACAGCCAAGTGGCTTATAAATTCTGAGATAACCCTCCTCCCCTAGGCAAATAAAATTGCCTGGGCTTTTGTTGTACATAGAACAGGAACACTGTTCTTGCTAGAATGTCATAAACAAACAGCTTATTTAGATATCAATCTATTGCTGCGACATTCATCTCAAAATAGTGACGGTGGTGAATGGGAAAAGAATCCAGGGGCTGTGACAGGGGGCTTCTGAACACGTAATACTGTTTTCTTTCTACGTTAAGTAGGTATGAATGCTTCAACAGTAAACTTTTACAAAACGAAGGGCCATGAACTGACTTACTAACAGCAGGCCAGATTATCCAAGTTTCCTTACTGGGTCAATCTTAGGGTGTCCAATACTCGGGTATCATGGACTCCCCACAGATCTCCATCGCAGGAGGACTGTAACAGGGGAGACATGATTTGTGACTACTAAACAGTAAAATAAAATGGAAGACCCAAGGAACTAACCAGCAATAAAACAAACAAACGCTTTAAGAGGGAACCTGCGTAAGGGGGCTCTTTCCGAACAACAAACAGTCTTCCTATAAAGTTGCATTTGACCAACGATCCTAAAACCTAAGGGGCAGGGACTGCTGCACCCAAGCATCTCTGCCTTGGGGCTGCCCACAAGGTCGACCACAGCCGTCACTCAGATGTTCAGCCGGCGAGGATGATTAGGAAAGGGTCCTAAGGCCCTGTCCTGGCTGATGGGATGGTCTGGCCAGGTACAGGTGCGCACTTAAGAATGATGGCAAAGCGACATGGGTGTGTCTTTCCTATAATTGGGCCTCCTGTGAAGTTCCTGTCTCCCCAGGAAAAGGTTCGGGTGCGACCCAAGGACCAGGCGGAGTAAGAGTAGGGAGGAGAAGGGAGAAGGGAAGGGAGCGAGGAGGAGGCTGTAATAGTAAAAAAACAAACACTCAAGCGCAGCACTGCCACCGTGGCGCAGGACCTGGGACCATCACCGCTCCCCACCTAGCGGAACTACTTCCGCCCCCATCCAAGATGGCGAGGGGGCGGGGCGGGATGGCAGGCGGAAGCGGCCGGCCGGTCTCTGGCTTTAGCGCCATGGCGGCCACGGCCGCCTCCCCCGCGCTGAAGCGGCTGGATCTGCGCGATCCCAACGCGCTCTTCGAGACTCATGGAGCGGAGGAAATCCGCGGGCTGGAGCGCCAGGTTCGGGCCGAGATCGAGCACAAGAAGGAGGAGCTGCGGCAGATGGTGGGCGAGCGGTACCGCGACCTGATCGAGGCGGCCGACACCATCGGCCAGATGCGCCGCTGCGCGGAGGGGCTGGTGGACGCCGTGCAGGCCACCGATCAGTACTGCGCCCGCCTCCGCCAGGCCGGCTCCGCGGCGCCCCGGGGGCCGCGAGCCCCGCAGGTCAGTCCGGGACCCGAACCCGCCACGTCCCACCGCCCTCAGCGCCCGGCGGACCCCACCCCTCACCTTCCGCCGGAGGAGCCCGCCCCTCACGCTGATGTGTGCGCTGGTGAGGCGTCCGCCGGCCTTGCTCGGGACGCTGGTCTGCTCCGGAGAAGTCGACCGGCCTTTTGCTCTAGGCGCCTTCCCGGACTTCCGGACGATTCCCTCGCCTCCCTGGATTCCCAGCGCTCTCCTTCCCTTTTAGCTGAAAACGCCAGGGGTCTCTCGACAGTCAAGAACAGATCTCCCCCGTTTGCTCACACCTTCCCGTCAAAGTCGTTCATTCCTCATCCCACCCTGTACCTGAGCCTGGAGAACTGGGGGAGGGAAGCCTCGGCTGTCAGGCCCTCCCCCTTTTAATAGGTGAACAATTTCATTTTAGGCCACGAAGGCTGGTCTGGAAAACTCAGATCATCCTGTCTTCCTCCCCTAAAACATTAAAGAACGATGGGGTGGGAAGCACACCCTCACACTGGGTGTTGGCCTAGGAACAGAAGGCGTAACGGGAGGGTAAATATTTTTTACCTGGGAGAACTTACCTTGACAGAAGAGATTACAAAAGCACTCCAGCCCTCATTTGGAGGTAGTTTTTTCATGCTACCTGGGTTTCAGAAAAATCCAAGCCAAAAACAAAAGAACACTGGGGGAGTATAATGAAAGTGCGCAAAGAAGGTTGGCAGTATGTTAGTCTTATCACTCCCTAAGCTGTTCATTAAGTACAGTCCCCTTCCCAAATGACCGGACTTAGCTGGCTAACTTCAACCATATTGGCCTTATTTTAGAAATGTATGATTTTCATAGTTAACGGCTGGCGAGTTCCTTGGGCAGCCCCACACTTGCTTTTCTTCCGTCAAACCACAAACCAAAGCCTCCCAATTTCTTCCCGAAGCTTACATTCTAATCAAAGAAACCCATGGGAAGTTGAATTTTTTTTTTAATGTAAGTAATTTAGAAGAGCAGTTGAAGATATTTTAGCATAAAAGTGGTTAATCACCAAAATAATTATGTCCTTTTAACATGATAGTTTTGGGGGAAGTGCCTTCGGTATGGCTCCTCCTCAAAAAGGACAACTTATGTCTCTGGCCAGTTGTGCTGCTCTAACAAAATATTTGACACTGGATAATTCATAAGAATAGAAATTCAGTTTCCCACAGTATTGGGGCCTGGGAAGGCCAAGATCAAACTCTGGTGAGGACCTGCTTGCCTCACAAGGCAGATGGGGAGGAGCATAATAGAGCCAAAGCTGGTCCGGCCCCCTTACCTGCCTCCTACACAGTACTAACGAGGACAGGAGCTGGAGGTGTGAGGGCAGACTGAGAGGCCTGAAGACTGAGCCAGATGAAAGTTTGGTGCAGGGGTGGTAAAAAAACAGTCAGCACAGCAATCTTTGTTGATGTCAAAGAGGGAGGAAGGAGGGAAGGAAGAAGCTTGCTTAAAGGCTCGCTCCCACCCATAATCAGATGTTGGCCCATGTCAGACCTCAGTGCTCTGAAGTCTAGCTTAATGAAAACTTCAGATTTTCTTTTTTTTTTTTCCCCCCCCCCCCCCCCCCCCCCCCCGATTTTCTTTAAACACAAGGTTTCTCTATTTAACCCTGGCTGGCCTGGAATTGGCTGTGTTGACGAGGCTGACTTTGAACTCACAGAGATCCTCCTGCCTTTGCCTCCTGAGTGCTGAGATTAAAGATATGCACTGTCACACCTGGCAAAGCTTCAGATCTTAAAATATCCCCCAACATCTCCCAAAGCTTGTGTAAAGGGGTCCATGCTTTTGTTTGCTCTTCTGACATCCCTTCCGCCCCGCAGCCACAGCCACCATCAGAGAAATTCTACAGCATGGCTGCCCAGATTAAGCTGTTGTTAGAAATCCCTGAGAAGATCTGGAGCTCCATGGAAGCCTCCCAGCATCTCCAGGCCACACAGCTCTACCTGCTCTGCGGCCACCTGCACAGCCTGCTCCAACTGGACTCCTCTAGCTCCAGATACAGCCCCATTCTCTCCAGATTCCCCATTCTCATCCGGCAGGTGGCAGCAGCCAGCCACTTCCGGTAAGTGAGGGTGCACAGGCTCTCCAGTGGTGTCTGGACCTCATTTAACCCCCTAGGGTGTCACCGGGTCTGTCTTCTTTCCTCATACACTGAGGCACTTCATCCAAAATGTTGGCCATTTCTTGTTGATATTTATGAGTCTTTCTAGGTCAACTATTTTGCATGAGAGCAAGATGCTGCTCAAATGCCAGGCTGTGTCGGACCAGGCTGTGGCTGAGGCCCTCTGTTCCATAATGCTCTTGGAGGAGAGTTCTCCCCGCCAAGCCCTCACAGACTTCCTGCTGGCCAGAAAGGCAACAATTCAGAAGCTTCTGAACCAGCCTCACCATGGTGGGTGATTCTTCAACAAGGGGTGGAGCAGTGTGCCACGGAACCTGAGGCACAAGTCTTCTGTGTTCAGCCTTACTGAACAGAACTGCTTAAAAGACGGTGGTTTCTTCTTACAGGTGCTGGCATCAAGGCCCAGATTTGCTCTTTGGTGGAGCTGCTGGCTACTACCCTGAACCAAGCCCATGCGCTTTTCTACACTCTACCGGAAGGTGTGCTGCCAGACCCATCTCTGCCCTGTGGCTTACTCTTCTCTACCTTGGAGACAATCACTAGCCAGCAGCCCACTGGTGAGCTCATAACGTTTTTCCTCATTCATAAAACTGATCTGCCATATCCCAGCTGCTGTGCCAGGCTCTGGGGATAAATCAGTGAACTGGGAAGATTGAGACCCCTGTTTTGTCGGAATCATAGTTCAGTTGAAAAAGCAGATGCTGAACCCCCAGAGGTGCAGGTTGCTGTTCAATGTCAGTCACAGTCATTGCTGTAAATGCAAGGTCCCGGTTGCCTAGGAACACTGGAAAGATCTCCCAAAGCCAGGTAGGACTTCCCTGGGGAAGTGATGTCACACTGAAAGCTGAAGGTTGGGAGGAGTTAGTGAGTGATGAAGGGAAGAGAGTTCCATGTAAAAGAAAGAGGAGGTTCGAAGCCCCGAAAAGAATGTTAGTATATTTTAGGAGCTGAAGAATGCCAGCAGTTTTTAGAGTGAGGGAGAAGAGGCCGGGGATCTGGCCTGGCCAAGTAATAAGCATCCACATGGGCCAGGTGTGGGAGGTTGAGCTTTGCCCAGAGATCTGGGTATCCTCCCATGGCCTTGCAGGCGTGGTATGCCCCCTCTGCCATCTGACCCTGTGCATCCCATACTTCACTGAGGTAGCATTTTCCCAGTTATAATTAAGTGTTTTCATGTGGCAGAGCGATACTGAGAGCTAATGGCTGTCAGCGTGATCCAGGGTCAAACATAGGGCTTGGATTAAAAGAGAGCCACGGAGATGGAGCTAAGTGGACATCCATCTCTGTTGAGAGGACTGGAGAGGAAGGATAGTTGTGAGGCACATAGGAAGGGAGGTATCCAAGTTAACCGGAAGAAGAATTGGGTTAGGGATGGACTTACATTTGCAACTGAGACACTAGAGAAAACTAGAGCCTGAAATGGGACTGAGGAGTGAGCAGGTGTTCCCAGAAACACATCTGCAACATGCCTACAGATAGCAGCATTTGCAGCCACAAGCATGGATGTATCCTTGAGCAGAGAAAATGACAGCGTCAGATCCCTGGGCTCTTAGGACTGCAGGATCAGGTGGAACTGTCAACAAAGCGACAGGAGGAAGCCAAAAGTAGAAGGAAGTGAGTACAGGACAGGTACTACCAGGGGCTCGTTTCCAGGTTAAAGTGAGCATCAGACTCATCTTTGAGTTACACCACCTTACTCATGCTTACACACACACACACACACACACACACACAGGCATGTATTCATTCCGCTAATGAAAGCTGGGTACTGATTGACCTGCCCTGGTATAGGAAAACAGACATATACGGTTACCTTGCAAGGCCTTTGTGTTTCAGCCTGAGAGGCCTCTTACAGAGTACAGTGAAAGGCACTGCCCAGGGAACACAGTGCAGACCTGTGGGATGACCAGGAGACAGGTTTTCAGTTGTTCCCTTAGATCTTCAAGGAACGTAGGATGCTGAAAAGAGGAAATTAATGGTTTACACTTTTCTTTGACAACTTAAGCTCTTATTAAAATGTCAAGGACTGGTGGGAACAGTGGCATGTACCTATAGTCCTAGCTACTCAGAAGGCTGAAAGGAGGACCACTGGGGCTCAGGGTTAAAGACCAGCCTGAGCAACATGGCAAGACCTCACCTCAAAACACACACACACACACACACACACATTGACTGTACAGCACTCCTTCCTTCCTTCTTCCTTCTTTCCTTCTTCCTTCTTTCCTTCCCCGTCCTTTTGCCCTTCCTTCCTCATCTCCCTTCTCTCCTTCCTTCCCCCTCCTTTTTCTCTTCCTGGCCTGCACTGTTCTTCTCAAGCAGCAGAAAGGCGGAGTTTGGCAAAGCTGCTCTGCAGAATGAGGGCCTGCCATTTCCTATACCTCCTTCATCTAACCTTTTCTGCAGATTGGTCCATGCAGAAAGGAGGTGAAGGGGACTAGGTTTTTTAAAATTCCCTCATAGGTTTTTAATTTTTTTTTTTCCAAGAAAGGGTTTCACTGTGTAGCTCTGGCTGTCCTGAAACTTGCTCTGTAGACCAGGCTACCCTTCGAACTCACAGAGATCCATCCGCCTCTGCCTCAGGCCCTGGGATTAACGGCCTGTGCCACCACCACCCAACTCTTTCATTCTTAATATGCTGCTCAAAGCACAGCCTGGATTCTTCTCACTTGGCCTTTTCTCTAGGAAAAGGCATCAGTGTCCTGCATGGGGAGATGAAGCTGTGCAGCTTGTTCAGGCACCTGCCAGCCTCCATTACAGAATTCCAGCCAGTGCTGCGGACTCTGGCACATCCCATCAGCCAGGAGTACCTGAAAGACACGCTACAGAAATGGATCGACATGTAAGCAATCGGAAAGCATCCCCGAGGCTTGGCTTGCCGGCAGCCGTAAAAGAGGCCACAGCTGGGAGGCATGAGCTGAGATTCTCAGTTGCCTGAGGGAGGGGCCACATGTCAGCCACGCACTCGGTGCACTGTTACACTCTACCCACTTAGTGCCTATGGGACAGAAGCAGGAAGCTAGTTTTTTCATGGGCTGGAGAGCTGGCTCAGCAGTTAAGAGCATTTGCTGTTCTTCCAGAGGACCTGGGTTCAGTTTCCAGAACCCACATCAGACAGCTCACACCCATCTCCATAAGTTCAGCTCCACGAGGATTTGGTACCTCTGACCTCTGAGGGACCTGCACGGAGACACACACACACAATTCAAAATGAAGTGAAAGA